AGAGCGTCACACAGGTGCTGCAGACGTGTCCTCTGCACATCCTGTTGTACTGACCTTTGACCTACGATTCTCTGTGAACCCCACAGACTCAGAGCCAACAACCACATCACGTTCAAAGTCACTTCCTTCCACACTCTGATGCGCGGGGTGAACTTCAGCAGGCCGAGTCTACGCGTCTGAACGCTCAGAGTTGCTGTCCTGTGACTGGCTGATGGTTTTGTGGTTCTTTTATTTGCTTCCTGCCTCTTTCTCTTACAGCATCCAGTAATTGAGTAAATTTAAAAACCTGTGCAGAGCACCGAGTTACACCAGAGCAGGGATCACCCAGGTTGTGACACCCCTGCTGTGGATTGGGGTTTTTGGGTGGAGTAGCCTCTGAGATCACATTACAAAGTAAAAAAACGAACAAACAAACAAACCAAACAGCTCCCAGGTAAACCTGAAACGCGTCACTGCTCTCCACACCTGTCAATTCTGAAACCACGCCCCATAGTTTTCAGGTGACTCTTCATTAGTGACGTAAGAATTTCTGATTCCTTTGCACTTTTATTTTGAAACAAGTTAAACTGCCCGCATCATCGCGCTGACAGGTTCCTGAGACTGTGCGGTGACCCTGAGAGGCAGATATGAAGAATAACCGCAATAATAAGATCCCGGCTGCGCCCGAAGGCAACACGAAACAAGTCCGACTAGTTCTAACTGAGCCAAAGATTCCGAGCAGCGCAAACCCCGTCAGAGACACCGGGCTAGTGACAAAAAAACAAAACAGCGGCTCGGGGTCCTTTACGAGGACGCAGGGGGTCTCAGGGTGAGACAGGATGGGCAGCAGCTCGCACTGACGCAGACACTCGTGCAAACTCCTCATCCTCTCTGCGTAAAAAGCCACGAACAGTGAAGCGAACTCACACTCACCTTTGCGTCCCGCTCCGCGCGCTCAGCCGCACAGCTCTGAACTTCCTTAATGAATGAGAGGCAGGGAGAGCGCGTGAGGTGCTCATTTTGGGAATCGTTTACACCCACTTCGTGTCGCAACACGGCGACCTCCCGCTGTCCACGAGCGGATTTACAGCTGATCGCGCGTAAAAGTCCCGGGGTCGTGCCAGAGAGTTCCCGATGTTTCTGCGTGTTTTACGTGGAACATCTTTAACTGTATTACTTGTATTAACACACGGTGGTGATGTAGAAATATGACGGAGGCACATATAAAGTTCTGAAGTTCTCTATGATTCTGCGTAATTGTCCCCACGCTTCAATCAGCCACTGACAGCGTGTTTGTGGACCAGAATGACTCCACATCACTCACATTTGACCTGTTTGTGACGGATTACAGGTCAAAAAGTCATTTTTAAAAAGTTAAAAAAACCCCAAGGGGGAAGCCGGGTAAAACGGTGGGGGGGGGGGTGTCTGAGTGTGGAAAGTTTCAGCATAAGACACTCCGAGAGGAGCCGCAGGTGTGGAAACCTCCTCCCTGAGATATGACACGTTTTTCTCTTTTCTCTCACTTTCATGTTTGATGCTCTTAATGTCCTGTTTCTATAACGTTTTATTTATTACATTTTTTCATCTCTGCTGAGTTACTGCACGTACAGTGTTGTGCAACAGTTTTATTTCTTAATATTTCCAGAGAAACTCCAACAATCATTTGACCCCAGATGGGCGAAAGTGGGAAAGAAAAACTCACCTTTTAACAGGAAGAAAGCAGCAGCAGAACCAGGCTCAGGGACGGGGGCATCTGTCACTGGGGGCAAATAGGTCATGAAATCCAACATGCAGTCACCTTTCAGTGGGAGCGCCGGCCGAATTCCTCCCATTCATCTCTCCAGCTTTTCCTGCACAGCTGAACTTCACTGTGAGCATCAGTGTTTCTGGATTTAGGCAGACGGCAGCATGTGAGCAAAACTAGTTTCAGGAAACTAAAAGCAGTGTTAAGTGTCTGTAGCTGTCTGCTCCCCCCCCTTTTGCTTGCCATTTCCTACATACACAGACTGCAGGCTGGTGACAATTTGGGAATCTCCAGCTAATTGGAGGGAGGTGGCTTCAATACAGCAACAGGAGTGAGGACGGCCTTATAGAAGGAACTCACCTGTGGCTACAGGTGGCGCTCTCCTCCTCGCTGCTGAGGATCATTTGGCACATGTGCTGAGCTGCCCTGGATCTTTTCATTTGTTGTGTAAGGTTGGGGGGGGTCCTGCACATTTCATGCATGTAATGTTTGCGTTTATTTTGTGAGTTGAGGATTAGCACTTTGTTTTCCTCTCAGAGTAAACCTCAGCTTAGTTCTGGTTTTTGTCTTTTTGGTGTTTTTCTTTGGCACAAACTAACAACTTTTCTCCCCCACATTCTTGTTTGGCTTGGAGACATTGTTTTTTTTTTTTGAGGAACTGCCCAAAAAAGCTCTTGTACACTTGTACCGACTTATTGGAGTTGTTGCGTTAACTCCTCCTGCAAACGAGAAGGCGTAACCACCAGACTTTGGTTTTACTCTGTGGTTTTATTGTCCAGCAGCCCGAGGAGGCAGATGTTCCCGTCTGACGAAGGTCGAGTGTTCCTCAAGAACGTGAAGAAGTTTGTTCGGTTTTAGTTTAAAATTGACACCTGGAAGCAGCAAATACGATAAAACGGCCGGACTGCTGTAGGTAAACCAATAACAGCGCTTCCTTCCCTCAGGCATACTTCAACTCCATCCAACCACACCTCCGTCTCCCGCCACCTCCTCCACTGAGGCGTTCTAGAGCCAGCTGCCACTAGGACACGCCCACAACACCTGAGGTGCCCAGACGTCTGAGCCTGAATGTCCGAGCTTTCCCTGTGATCCCAGCAGGATGGGAGACGGTTATCCTCGAGATGCAGCTACCGACCCCACCTGGAGTCGGGCCTGGTGGGCTTCAGGAGCTCGAGCCGAGCTGCCAGAATACAGAAGCGTTAACAAAAAACCTCCTGTGAACCAGCTGACTTATTTCAGTACACAAACGTCACATTTCACCTTCATCCTGTGAATATTTTCAGAGTAAAAGCTCTTGAAGTACACACACTGATATTCCTGCATATATAAAGTTATATACATCTCATCATACATCGGTCAGGTCACAGCTGCAGCTGTCAGGTGACTGTGTGGTTGTGTATGAAGAACGTGTGTTACACATCGTCGAGCAGCTCGGTGGTTTATTTGTCTTGTCCACTAAATAAACGCAGGAAGTTGCAGAAACCCGGCTCCACCTGTGCTGCTCGTTATTCTAAGAAGCTCATTTCTTCATCCAAACTTAAGTTGCGCCTTTATTCTTTCTAAACTTTCGCCTGGTGGTGCAACTCGCTCAGCGTTGAGACAGCAAATGTTTCAACACAGCGGCCACAGAAAGCTGCAGAGGAAACTGAAACCTAAGGCTGGAGCAAATGAACAGGCCGTCTGGGCCTCCTGAAGGTGCAGAGATCGTGTGAAGGACGAACGACGAAGGACACGAAGTGTTCGGAGTTCAGCGCAGTTCATTTAAGTCTGTTTTCATCACAGAAATGGGAAGAGGTGTTTTGTGGCCAAAGAGGTGAAAATGAGGCAGAAAGATCTTACAGGACGGTGCTGCGTTCACTTACATCAGGAATAATCAGTGAACTGACTTTCACTGCGAAGTAAAAGAGAAACTCTCAGTGTTCAGACAGGACGAGTCAGTGCAGAACAGGAAACACTCGTTTATGAGATTTTGTAGAAAACATTCACAAAAATATTGATTTTGATCATTTTTGTCTCGTGAAGACAAACAAGTCAAAGCAAGTTTTTCTTTAAGCTTCAGTTTGGAGGCTGAGTAAGAATAATGCACATTACACTGCAGTTCCTCCGGCGCCACTCGAGGCTCCAGCGGTGACGGATTTTACAGACAGCCTGTTCCTCAAAGCTAGGGGGCGTGGCCTCTGTGACTGACAGGCTGCTAGCAGGACTCCCTGAACTGGGCCTCTGCAGCGTGTTTGTGCTGTTGAGAACTAATATTTCATGCTGGGCGTTTATTCAGTGTGCTACTCAGCAGGTACCGTGTCTGCTGTTAAACAACCACGCGAGGACTAGCTTGCCAACAGCAGGTGAACAAGTTAGCAGCCAAAATGGTGACGCTGAGGCCCCAAAACCCAGAAACCAGCGAGTGACATCACAAGCCTTCGCCCATCTTTGATCGAGGAAACGATGCACAGGGACTCGACTGAAGCACCGACACTGTTAAACACTGTTGAGTTCACCTGAGGAGCAAACCTCTCTAACCGTGGTGTCCTCTGGTTTACAGGAAGTCTTCGATGTTACTGTTACGTTACAGGAAAGTGAGGTCTGGACGCCGTGGCGTCACTCGCCTGGAGCGATGACAGATGCAGTTTGGTGCTGTAGTGTTTCTGAGCCACGGCGGTCCAAAAGACACCTTCACCCAACCAGCTGCAGGCCCGTCTGTCTGATGCTGCTGAGCTGCACCGACTGTGATGGCACAACACCCTTGCGGTGGTTTTCTTGGGTAATCTAGGAAACTCTGAGCTGCGCTGACACAATCACTCAGTCACGACTTCAGCACTTCTTCCTTCAGTGACCTCAGAGGTCACCACGCCGGACCACCTGCCTCCATAACCAGCCTATCCTTCTCTGGATGACACCCAGAGAGCTCTGAGGTCTCCCTCTTCTCCTCCTTTGTCCAGACCACGTCAGCCTCGCCTCTCTAACCTGAGGCGTCCCTCTAACGGACTCATTTCTAATCCCGCCCATCCCAGTCGCTCGGCAACACAAAGGTGTGTCAGAGCACGGCGAGCAGAATGTTCACCGAAGGCCGGCGACACAAGCAAACTGAGTGAAGCTGAAAACTCGACTGTACTGTGAGAGTTTATGGGGACTGACTCACCGCCGCCTCGTGTGGCCACTAGAGGAACTGCAGGTTTCGGTACTTTGGTTTGGCCTCGCCTGTAAACGCAGCGAGCAGCGCCTCAGCGCCTCATCTAACCCGCTGTTTCCACACGAGTATCCATGACGACGGGACAGAAAATCAAAGGCAGAAAATCCAACATTTAATTTCATTTCATGTTTGAGCGAAGCTACAGTAACATAAAGGAAATGTCCATGAAGAGGTAGACTGAGACATCTTCAGCGTCAGCCCGACGCACTTTCAGCACTCAAAAGTTCGATCTGCAGAAATGTCCTTCAGCCCGCTGTGGGCTCCGGTTAAGGCTCCGCCCTCATCGGCGTCTTTGGTACGGCTTCTTGGCTCGCTGCTGTTTCTTGAAGTCGATAAGGCAGTCGGCGGCTTCTGAGATAGGTGTGAAGGACCTGATGGGAGAGTTACTGACCCTGAATGCTGACACTTCCTCCTCGTCATCATCATCATCCCGCAGATCGATGACATCACTGAAAGAATGAAGACAGAAGATTTCAGGCGTCTAAAACTTGAACAAACAGGCTGCAGCAGGAAGATTTCAGGTGTCTTTACAGCTGGACTTCAAACCCGGAGCTGTTTTAAAGGCGCCTTACCCGGGCAGGACTTTGGATCCAGACGGGCCAGCATCTGCAGAAACACAGCGAGGCAGGAAAACGTGACTTTATGAACCCTGATTCAGCGGTGACATCACATCAGCAGGACAACAGCTTTCCCCGTTTCTAGAAACATCCCGACCACGTGTCCCTGACTTTTAGAAACGGGAACGTTGATAACAGAAGAACAAAACCTGGAGCTTCATCTATAATCAGTCACATCAGAGTCTCAATAATCATCATAACAAAAGACTTTACACCAGAACTATCCAAGTCTCCACTCAGTAACTTCATCTCAGGGTTCAAATCTGTGAGAGATTTCTTCACGCTGAACCTTCGCGAGGCCCGACTGTTTGATTTAGGACGCCTGTGAAACACGAGGGCTGTAACTGAAACGTGACGAGCAGCTCATCACTGCTCAGTGAAGCGTGGCTCAGTTTGGTGAATAAGTTAAATAAAGAGATTATAATTTGACTCCACCCCAGTCTGAGGCCCGAGCGCTGAGTGTTTAGCTTTGGACACGTTTATCGTGGACATCTGAGACTCATTCCTCGTGTTTTCCTCCCTTTAAGCTCGTTAGACTACACTACAACAAGGCCAAGGCCGGCGCGGGCCTCGCCTCGGAAAAACAAATTCCAGTGAGAACAGAAACAAAAGACAAAGTCTGACAGCGAGACGCTCCGCTCTGCACGAAGGTCACGGCGAATTGTTGCTGAAGATGTTTAACGGTGACTCAGACTTTTGGGTTTTCATTTAGCTCCTGTGATCTGCAGAGAGCAGTCGGGGCTCTGGCATTTTTCTCCCATCAGGAGCACACAGGTGGAGGCTTTTATTTTCGAGCATCCTCCTTTACATGTCACTTGTGTGACCTTTGACCTGCTGACAGTGCTGTCATAACGAAAAACGAGGAAGCAAAAACAGAAAAACAGATATCAGCGTCAGACGCCCTCTGGTGGTCAGAGTGAGGAACTGCAGCCGTCTCTGCTGGAAGCTTTGAGCTCACAGAGACGTCTCATCAGTGTTACTCTATTTTACTTTTTCTCTGTTTTTTATCATCATTGTTTTATTCTGTGTAAGTTAAAGAAAAGCAGAGAAGGCTGATCTGAAAACAGAATAAATTAAATCACCTAAATAAACTCATAATAATAACAATAATACATACAGCTAATGAGCCGACAGCCTTTTCTTTGTCAGCTCGTTTCCACTGAATCAAACGCTCACGCTGAGCCTCGGGCTCTCTGACATCACATCAGCAGCATCACACGATAAATCGATAAATGAGAAGATTTCTTCATCACTGCTCAGAATTTAAAAAACCTTTACTTTACGTGTTGAACAGTAAATTCAGCGACGTTCCTGCAGGCTGCTTTATCGGGGACGTGGCTGTAAAAACATGGCTGCCTCAGACCGTCCAACGACTGTGCTACAAACATGATGATTTCAAATTTCTTATTCAGCAACTATTAGCAGGTATCTGTGATACAACCATGCACTCAATCATACAGCATGCTAACAAAGCCGATAGCTTAGCACTCCACGCTCTCATCTGAATCTTGCAAATTCTGCCTTCAGGAAACCCCCCCAAAAAACAACGACATCAAATGACAAACCACCGTAATGAGGCTACATCCATCTTTTATATACAGCCTTTGCTTTTTTTTATCATTCAGATTTTTGTGTTTCAGAGGAAGAAAAACAAAGAGCAACAACGATGACGTACCCGAGTCTCTGCTCTCCGTCTGATCCAGAGCCAGCAGCAGATTTCCCCTCTGCAAGATCAGAAGACAACAACTTTTAAACATCTTTACGTTTCTTTACTGAACTTTTACTCTTTTAACACCAACAGTCGGCACTTTGAATGAAACTCTTCAGCTTTCCGAGCAGCTTCTCTTCTTCGTCACCTGAGCTACGATGTCCCTGTCTGTTGTCTCCTGCTCCGTCTGCTCTGCTTTTAACCAAAAAACAATAAAAACTAAGTTTAGGAATAAAAAAACAAAAGCCTGCTGTAATTTAGGATCAACAGGTGTCTGATTTCAAAATAAAAGCTCGCTGCTGTTACACATTTTCCTTGATGTTTCTCCTGGAAAAATGCCACGAACATCCTGCTTCCTGTCAGACCTTCACCTGTGGATCTACACCGCCAAAGCCATCTGGCAAAGGGGGGTGTCAAACATAAGGCCCGGGGGCCAGAGCAGGGCTGCCAGAGGGTCCAATTGGTCCTGTATTTTCATGTTTTACAATTTTTACTGCTGATAAAGACCTCACCGCTCACACTACAACACAGTAGTAGGGTTGGGCCATATCATACCGTTCACGGTAACACCGGTGCAATGTTAGGCAACAATAAGAAAATGAAATATCACGATAGAATATGGGTAAAACGCGCACGCGCACATGGCCGAATAAGCACGGTGGTAACGGAGAATGAGAAGGGAGAAAGTGGATCGTTGAGTGAAACGGATGAACCAGAATTGGTTCGTAAAGATGGTGCCACTTCAGTGGTGTGGAACTGGTTTGGTGTCTGTCACAAACCCACCAAAACACTTTTTTTTTGTAGAACATGTAAGCGGCCATCGTTATTGCCGTATTTGTAGGACTAAGGTGCTCGTAAATCTGGGAGTAATCTGGGTCCTAAACTCCGTCCACTTCAGGTCCCAAAGTCAAATGAACACACAGCATCACTGAGAGTTACAAACGGTCTAAATTCTTTCATCTTTAATAAAACGATCAGTGTTGCTGCTTTACCAGGTATAACTATGAAGTTTAACATCCAGGCATCCATGAAAACAGAATTCATTACATTTAACCGAGTTAGAAGTTAGCAGGAAGTTAACAGAAGTTAGCTCGCTAATTTCGCTAGTTACCTAAACATGATATAGCATGTTCTGACTGAGAGATTTCTGAAAAAATTCAAACGTACAGCTCTGCTATCACTTCCAACATAAATGAAGACAGAAAACTAAACAGCAGTGACGTTTGTAAGGTTACTGAAGTTGGGCTAGCTGGTATATAATGATGTGCGACGTAATCGCTAGCGACACAGCTATGCTAGCATAGCATAAACAGTGAAGCTGGAGGAATGGTGCTAACTTTTTTCCACTCGATAAAAGTTAACGTGAAGGTTCCTGATGGTTAGAGACAAATACAGTCGCATGGCAGGATGCTGTAAACGGACCAAACTTCAGTCAGGAGAACAACTGAGATAATCCATCCACAATACGAGGTTAGTGATTAATATACTGCAACAACACGGGAACAGAGCAGCTGTGATAGAATACAGCATTAATGAATCAATGGTACAGAAGTGGAGGAAGCAAGAAGAATGAGTTGAATAAAGTTTGATTTATCTGACTGCTTTGTTGCCTTATAATCCCGTGCACCTTATGGTCCGAAAAATACGTATTTGACTTTTTTATTTGGCACACTGCAGTTTAATGTTGCAAAGCTACTCTTTTTAACTTCAGTGGATATTATACATGGTTATGCTCAGGATATGTCAGCACATTTCTACTGGAAATGCCTTTTGGTTAAACTTTCAGTAAGGAATTTGCATTTGCACTGTTAAATTTTTATATAGCTTTAATGCATATAAAAAACAGCTGCTTGTTTAAGTGAAAATAAGTGGGTGTTTCTTGCCTAGTAATGCTGTGGGTTGTATTTTGTCTCGCATCAATTATATCGTCATTTATAACGCAAATTTTCAAATGTATATCATGGTAAATATTTTTGGCCATATCGCTGCTCTACACGTTTGGTTTTCCATGACTTACTATAGAAATTAAAAAAGTGGGCCCAGAGTAAAAAACCAAACCAAGATAACGAGCTAACGTTTCACTGAAACGAGCGGCTCAGATGTGCCTGCTCCTTCTTTGTAAACAGATTTGAGTTTACACAGTGAAAAAAAGCTGATCGCGGTTTGTTGCAGACTAAACTGGTGGACTGTCTAAGCTACAAGCAGACAGGTGTGTGGTTTCAGAGCGTCGCCGGCTTACAGCTGCAGTCTTGGATCCGTGGCGCTGGATGCAGAGCTCGGTGTGTCGGCTGTAGTCCTTCAGAGGCACGGCTCTCTGACAGATGTAGCACTTCTCCTGGTTCCTGTTGGATTAGAAGAAAGCAGCGAGTCAGAAAACAAAGAGCTCTCGCGGCTGATGTAGACGTCGCCGCAGACACACCTACCTGCCAACGTCAGCACCATCATTTGTATCTTCGGCGTTCGCTCTGTGTGTTCTCTTCCTCTGAGTCTTCCGTGACACTAAAGAGGAGAACAAAGCTCCGACTGAAACCACAAATCAAACCACAAAATGCCACATCTGACTCTCACCGGTGACTCATGTTGTAATTCCCAGTTTGGCCTGAGGGTGGCAGCGTTTCGTCACTGTTAGGTTTAAAACCGTCCAACTACCTTCAATGTGAAGGTTTGGAATAAAAAATCTTGAGAGAACTGATTTTCTACCTGTGAATCACTCCGATAATCTAACGCCCACGCTCGCCACGCTCGCCACGCTCGCCACGCCCGGCTTTGACACAGCCTGAACTCCGATTTCATTCCAAACGTGAAGCACTGTATTCTTTATATTTGGCTGACGCAGAATGAATCATCATTTAAAACCATCACACAGGACGAGGTGGAGGAAGCTGATAGTGGACACGCCGGTTTGATGGATTTTGCTCTCAGTGCAGCTTCCAGCAGAGCCGCGATTGGCTTGGATATACGAGACGCAGCGCAGGGGAAAGTTTTTGCTTCTGAATACGTCCGAAAGATTTCCACGACGACGACAAACCAAAACAAAGGTCCCGATCATGGAAGCTCGGGTTTATGATCGCAGTTTGCTGAACAACAGTGGAACCTCAGTATATATATAAGGTTCTTTATTTTAAATATCTGTTTATTCTATGATTTATTTAATTTCTATTACTCCTTCATTCCTTCTTCTTTTTTCCTGTTATATAATTGATGTTACTGAGTTACTCTGTGGCTGCTGTAAGACAAAATAAATCCTCCTCAGTACATCTACATGTGTGACCGTTAAAGCATCTTCCCGATCTATGAACCTTCAGCAGTTTTATCACTTTGTTCTTTGACGTCTTTGTTGTTTTTCTTCTTCTTGTTTCTTTTTTCGAGCCGCTCGCTGCGTTTGAATGATTAAAGTTCTTGATGAACACTCATCTTTAAAAACTCACCTTGTATGTAGTCGACCTTGGGCCTCCTCTCCTCCACGACTGCCACCTCGCCGTCGCAGTACGCGGCGTGCATCTCGATCCTGCTCGCGGGGAAGGACGCTTGGCAGAGCGGGCAGTCGACGGCGGTCTCGGGGCTGCGGGGGACGACGGCCGGCTCCGGCCCAGGCGACGGCGCTTGGTCCTTTATCTCCTCCACATCTGGATCCCCTCCGTCCTCCTGCACCTCCTCCCTGCTCGCAGGCTGACCGGCGCCGCCCTCGCTGCTGCTGACGGGGACGTCCGCCTCCATCTTCTCACCTGTTGGAGCTGAGGATAAATGACAGCTTCAGCTTCTGAAACACGCAGCATGGAGGGTGAAAATGAAGCTTCTCTGTCTGATTACCGTCGGCCTCCACCTCCTCCACCTGTGGCTCGCTCCTGCAGGGAGGATCAGCGTGAAGGATCATCTGAATCTCCGGGTTTTTAGCTGCAGGCTGCGGACAAACTTTTCACATTATTTCAGCACTTTAACACATTATTTACTGACGGCAGCCACACACAAACCCACCCAGCACCTCCACCTGCTGCTTGTACAGTTCAGGGTCTCGTGGCTCTGAGGAAGAGAACATGCAAACTCACAGAGGTGGTGCCGACCTGTGGACTTGAACCTAGAACATCCACAACGTGAGGCCTCAGTGCTAACCACTGCAGCACCGAAAACTCTGCCATAAGGCGTCAGGACCAGTTCCTGTC